AAACATGATGTTTCAAAACTGTACGGTAGAAACGTTTTCGGCAGGCCCGTCAGCTGCTGGGAACACTGTATGGTTCATGTGTGGGCCCAAGGAAAAGCCCTTCGGGTATTTAAAGACGTCGCCAATAGCGGAGAAGAGACCGTTTAGTGTGTTAATCATCAGCACTAGTGTAAAAAGCCTCGCGCATCCCCTACTTAAACCGCTGGCCTTACGTCTGCAATACAAACTGCTGTCGGAATAGCAGAGTGGACTCAGCAAAAAATGCGGGACCAGTGCATGATCCTTGTCGTGCGTCAGTTACAATACGAATGCTAAGAAGTCAGGACTGACTGCTTGGTCACGTGTGTTGGTCTGACAAGATCCCTCGACGAAATGGACCGAAATCGACCCCAGAGACCATTCAAGAGGCTATGCGAGTCGACTCTGGGATCTAGATGTTGATGATTTCTTCTCCCCGCTTCGCCTTTAGAGTACTGCGGAGACAGCTGAGGTCGACTTGTTTAGTCCTCTTGTTCGACGCTGGCAAAGGACCATGGAATGTCTTCGTCAGCATTACGACTTTATACATTCTCCTCCTGATGTTGAGGATAATGCGATGACGGTTTTGTGCATCAAGCGCAAATGTGCTCCAGGGGGCATAACGGAGACATTATAAAGTAGCCTATTTCACTCAGTTTAGACTTTTAAATGTCAGATTTCAGAATTTTTGGAGGCTTTCAGGTATACTAGTTCAACGACGAGTGAACTGGGACCAATTGAGACAAATCGGCCAGATGCCCTCTGGACTGTTTGCATATTCTGATACTGTAAAGTCCGGGATCACTGTCTCGACTGTTTGACATGTAAGATGTTGCCTGGCTACGTTAAGGAACATAGACGGGCTCAGAATGTCTTCTTCACGTCTTCCGAGATGCATTTAGGTCTTAAGTGAGTAATAACTTTATTTTACTTATAACTGCTTGTTTGAGCACCTTTACTGGTCATGAGATTTCAACATCTAATTACAGACAAAGTAGCTATGAAGTAATCGTCGAGCGTTCGCTGAGGGAACCTGCCAGGGACCACCTGTTTCCTCTTTTACAACCTGTAGCAAGCATATGCAACGTCTACGATCCTATCAACCCACCTGGCTGACCACTTGGGTCATGGTGAATTCTATTTCGCAACTTAAGGCCAACAATCAAAAGGGCCACTTCCATAGCACTAAAGTCGATTAGCAACTTAGATGCATAGGAAGACTGAGACAGATGGTGAAGTGGGCCAGTTTGAGGCACATTTACCGGTGCCTCCTAATAGCCGTTCGCTTATTTAAGAAAGTGACCGGCTGAAGGTCTTTTTATGCGCCACAAATAAGTCTCCACTCTAAGCGGGGGATTGCCCAAGTAGTATCTCCTCGACTAGTGCTGACTTAGTCGGCCCAATAGTTCAAGGCATGAAAATTCAGGGAGAATGGACCGTGGTGCTATCCTAGGGGTAAGGGCGAAACCGCCCACTTGCAGTATATCGTGAAAGAATGATCTTGTTATGCGCTGGTGGGGGACATGCTACAGAAAATGGTACGAGATTTGCACACGTCAGCCTAACCTAATGTCTGGCACACAAACGGCACCACTTGTCTCTGACGAGAAACGTCCTCCTTCGCCCAGTAAAGGATAGGGTGAAGTGTCCCGACTTTATGATTTTGTAAGGGACCGAACAGGTTGCAGTGGTGGGTACAACTTAAGCCCATCGCTAGACACAGTGCGGGGGATATACGTGATCGGAGTAAGGATTACCGCCCGACCACTTCCACACGACGAATATCTTCTGAAACTCCGTGTCAGATATTGCTATATGAAATGGCTTTCGGTAGAGGCACGGTACGGTTCCGAACTTAACAACTGGGCCGTCAGTAACAACGGTAGTCAGGTCCCTAATAGAAGAGAAGCATCGGGCCATTCGATTCTTCTTACACCTCCAGGTCGGCATTGGCGACGCACACGATGGTGATTTGGCATTTCGAAAATCCAGTCATTCATATTGTTGCAGTGGCTCATTACCTGAGAAACTGATATAACAACATGCTTGGTAATTTGGATTTAGTTTCCACCTACAAGAAACAAATTAGAAGGGAACGCAGAGCGCCAGTTGACGGTGGTGAGCAACGCTTACCTTCGCCTTAGCCGCCCCGACTGGATTCTTGGCTGTTTAGTTTTTTAACAAGACTCACGATCACCGCAATGCACAGCATCCTCAAAATTCAAAGTACTCTCTTTTGGTACGGTTTAGCAAATAGACAGACCATTTGCATATGGGGCGCGCAGTACCTGGTCACACAGCTTCCTCGTAGCACTGTTTTAGAAAGCGTAGTGTGTGAAGTACGCGTTTCTGCGACCAAGTGGGAAAGCACCCGCGCGCGACACCTCCCGCATCTACACCATCAATGCGACTTGCATCTTCGGGATACAAATCGAGAGAGGCGATTTACCCGTCCACAAACCTGCAGCCACCCTTTGCAAGGATTCCCCTTCAGTCGACGAAATAGAATGGCCCAGATCAAGCGGCATAGTCGGTAAACAGCTACAGCACATGAATTCGACAAGGTATATACGGTTCCTGTGAGGTGCCGGCCAATATAGCCTCAGCGCTATGATGAAATTAAGCTCGGGCCATGGCTTGCGTTATGCGCAACCCAAATAGGGAAAACGGACCCTCTGCCTAGTCGGCAAAATGGTACCAATAGCTATGTGGAAGCCAGCTAACATAAGATACAGAGCATTTCTAACTAACCAGGTCACTTGAACCATTACGCGACAAGGAGGCTCCCTTGGAGAATACACATGCCGGTAGCCCAGGATATGAAGACGAAATTAAAAGGTGTAGATAAAGACACGAACTGGAACGGCCGGATTGAACCAGGCGTATCTTTAGGAAGCCGCCTTATCGGCCGCTTTGAGCTTGAATTTGTATGCGATAACTGTGAAAGAACGTGGGGTTTCGCTGGCCAGGGCCATATTCCAGCATTATAAATATCTGATGGTCTGGTATTCAAAATATGGTCGTGTGGCCAGCCCGATTAGCCAAAGTAAATTTGACTGGTGAATGAATTGCTAACGACTGCAGACAAAGCCATCTTCGTTCGTGCCGGCATGACATCCATCTCCCGTCCGCACCCAAAACATTTTGTGCAAGATTCCTTAATGCAACAAAGTGACAGCCCCAATACCTGACATCCGGCACACATGAATCCTGTCTTACGTAGGGAACCGAGCCGGAGGTAGTAGCAAACGATTGTCACTGAAGGCCTGCAGCTGGCAGAGTTCCCAGATCCACATAATGGCACCGTAATTATTGGCTGAACTCAAGGACCGCATTACCATCTGCACATGCAGCAGGACCTGAGTCCCTAGAAGAGCATTCCTTCTGCAAACTTCTCAGAATGACTGCAGTCGGCATAATATGGCCATAAGACTACGCCAAGCTGGGGCAGGCATGAGACCAGCGAGACTCGAGAACTCTACTTAATTTTCCAACTTAATGTTAAGCCCCTCACTTCGCTAGCAATGTGTACGTCAGCTCTGGTTCTTGAACTCGGACAAGATTTAGCGCCGGTGAGCGATCCAAGTGACTTTAGTTAGAATGACCAACCCGTGAGCTCTACGCTGTTGTGGTTTTATCCTTCCCCAGTCTTAGAAGTGCCGTTTGGTTCTCAGGATGAAAGTATCGGTGAGACAATGAGGCCGCGCAACAAACTCGGTAGAGACGGAGACCTGCCGCCTCCAAGTTCTGCGACGACGCCTCTGAGTTGAACTTGTGTGAGAAAACGCGCTTATTCCTAATGACAGCGGCTGCCAGTCTTAGAGGAGCGAAGTATGTGGGTCTAGAACACGACCCAACCGAATCGGTTTCCGGATTGTACGTAGACGCACTAAATATTCATGCTACGACAGATTCTCTGACCCAGCCATGGCTACGAACAACCCACAGCCGTTCCCTTTGTGGACATCTTCGCACTGGCCGCTCCACGACTGCGCAAGTTCTGGCTGACAACAGTCGCTCACCCCGTCCAATTAAATATTAGACCGGATATTCAGGACGACCGTATGGGGTTGTGAGGGCGTTGCATTTGAGCCAGTACGGCAGACTAGGTTCGGCCAGTAGTGCCGAACAGTGATATCCCATAGAAGGTAGCCTCAGGAATAAATAATTTCTAGAAAGGTCAACCCAGCTGGCAACACCGGGAATACCAGTATTCCTAAGCCATATTCCTGACCAAAATGCATCCGTCGACTGTCACCGTAGATAAACCAGCAATTGTCGCTGGAAAATTGATGGAGCAAGGACTACGTAGCCTCCCGAACCGCTGGTCCTTGAAGGACTTTCGCGACCCTTATAAAGCGACCATAAACCCGAGACGGTGTCTCTCGACGCAAAGATCCACATTCAGTCATTCCTCTTGCAAGTGTGTGGATGCTAAGCTGTACGTACAGGAGGCAGGTGGGGACGTAAGACGTATAATCATCGTTTACGGAAACACCATCAGAGCGAAATGCATCAGCTTTGTCCCAGATGAGCTCACGATACGGAAAAGCCGCTTGCAAAAGACGAATAGGACGCTGCGTGCACTTTGTTGTACTGCTACTGTCGTTGCTCAAGAGCTGCTGCTCACAAGTGTCGATGAGATCAGCTAAAAACTTCGCTCAATGCAGTCCTCCAGGACGTGGTAGTACGCAGATGCCTGGTACTCGGTCCCCATCGTTGGAGATTAAGACCGTACGCTCCAGACCCACTGCCGCAGACTACATGTGGATCGGTACGACGCACAACATTATCGGAGCAGGCTTGGCCAGGCTATGAACACTTACGACTCGGCTAGCAGAGAGGCGTTTCAACAAAGTTCTATATTTCTCAGAACTATCGCATGAAATGCACCTGCTAACAGAGAAGTAAAGCTATGTCCGGTGACAAAGTGGGACAGGTAGCAGGCGTTCGAGAAGGAGCTAAAATACAAACGGTACCGTTCAAAAAGCATATAAAATTAGGAAAGCCATCATCAGACAAAACAGCCCCATGGCCTCGCTCAAGGCAAATCCGAGAATGGCGTAGGAGAACAGCTGTTGTTTAAGTCCAGGATTCCGCGCGTAGCCCATGACAAGATTCCCAAAGACGGAGCCGATTCCTGCGCCGGAGCCAGCTACACCGACCGTGGCGGCACCAGCACCGATGTACTTCGCGGCTTGATCGATGTCCCTACGAACAACTGTCGTGTGGATGCTTTTGGATGAAACATCACATAGTGCAGGTTGTCCGATTTTTGGCAACATACTGTTCAAAACAGTCCTCGAGATCATTGGGCGCACCAACATGGAAGATTTCAGAAGGTGAGTGACAGGAAGCATCTACGAAGGAAGACATTTAATGTGAAGTAACATCCAAATGAACTCTTGCTGTCAATTGCACAAAAAGTCGCGAAACTTACGGTTGGCGGCGTGATCAGGAACAGAACAGAAACCAGACAACCCCCACCTATTCCGACGCGTTGAGAGTAGAACGAGTCACTTAAACAAAAGTTCGGCTTTATTAGAGCAAGCTCACATCGCTTGCTAAGCAAATTATTTAAAGCTGAAAAAGAAGATCCATACGTTGGAGAACGGATAAGTGTTCTAACAGGGGAAGTGTAATGCAAGGTGGAAGCGTAGTTGACACGATTTAGATGCAGATGCTCAAGATCACCCAAGAACACGAGACTATGCCCTGGAATTATATGCTATGATAGTGATTTAATATCCATATGTCTGTGCGACTAGATACTTGCATTAAACATCTACTTGGGCTTATTATAAACCTAGGAGTTGGGCTCATTTGACGTTAGACAGTAGTGAAACGGTGTATTTACAATGGAGCATGGTCGCATTCAAGATAGAAGTGTGTTGAAATAAGGGGGCTGGGAAAAGAGCTGGAAAGAGTGAAAGCAAAATAGTAACTTGCATGTATAGGGCAAGCGAACGAAGAAAATGAACAAATATTTGCGCGTTTGTGCCCTTTTGGTGATTTGGATTTGACGATAAATGAAGTCGCAGGAGTATATTTGACTGCGTCTTCCCCAAACGAGGCTGTAACTGTTGCCACTGCATGTGCGTAGTATGTCCTAAGAAGAGACTACTACGCCAAGCCATACACTGCTACTAGACTACTCAGAAATTGGTTCTTGGTATGGGATAGTCGACTGATGTAAGGAAGTGGGAAGGGAGAGTCAGTCTGATACTGGAGATTCGATCCCCACGGCAAGTCAAGACGCTCGTAATTATGATAAAATAGACGCGCTCTAACCTAATAGGACGTGCTAAGAGGCGTGACTTTTCGGTTTTTCAAGTGATTTGGTGCCTCGGCCCTACCTAGTCCTCACTGACAGACTACAATATGATACCCAAGTCCCCCCCCCCTCCCTAACAAACGTGGTCTGACCCATGTGGAGTTAGGAGCAGGCAGCACGTGACGCGCGTCGTTGGGCCGCTTAGTTTCGTCAAACGCCGCGCACGGACCGACCTCTAATAGAATTTATTTTGTCTTCCCATTGAAGAAGGTGGGTGTGGGTTGAGTGAGTGGGATAAATGTATCCAAGGTCTACCTAAATATAAATAAATTCTCACGCAGCTCACAGCTGCCGTGTACATATTATAAGACTGTGGCGAACGTCGCAACTTGGGTCGGTTATACCGTCGCACACGCGTGTGTTATTAATGTTATAGGTAATGAGTGGGGTGTAGGAATTTTCAGTTAGGACCAAACGTCCGTGGATGGTAGGTCTCAACGTGCAAGTGGCGACAGTTTCTTATGGTCCTTAACGGGAACCTAACTTTCATCTGTGGCTACCCGAAGCTAGATTATGCCTAGCCGCAACATTCTGGTGACCGCCTTGGCCGGCGGACTAAATCAGACGAGGGTATCCTGTGGTGTTGCTGACCCTGCAGTCCATAATTCTGTTCCCATCCCCATCCTTTCTCACTCCCTCCCTCCCTTCCTCCTCTTCTCCTTCATTCATTACCTCTAATTTCCTCTACCATCTCCATTTGAAAAGACTACAGAAGGGCGGCATTAAGTCCCCTAGACAGCCCAAGCTAACTCGGGTGGCTCTAAAATGAACAGGGCCTTGACGCATAGCGGGGTTCAGCAGCCGTCTGAGATGTCTAGGCAAACATACTTAGGAACACCAATGCTTATTCCCCCGTGGGGAAGGGACTGGAAAGGGCGCCCTGAATAAGTGCTAGGATCAAATCATCCCGGCGTAGACCATGGCTCGCAGATATATTACTCACAGCCGAAACGGTCAAACAATCATAAACCCATGTTCCCATCCTCCCTGCTCCACCCCACAGATTGTTAAAGTGAGTCCACTCACTTTGGCAGCCTGGAATGTTCGTTGTCTTTTGGACAATCCGAGAAGTAGAAGGCCTAAGCTGTGGACGTCGCAGTCACTTGAGAGGAAGCCTGTCACACACCGGACACCGAAGAAGTCAGTATGACTCGATTGTCCAAACAGGCCCTAATAGAAGAAGATGCTGGCACACCCTCTTCGAAAACGACCGCCTAAAGAGTTTGACGCCACGGAGACGCCGTCTTTGCCATCCAGGACAAAAACTTGATACGTCAGCCCTGTCTGTCGCTGGGTATCAACGACCGCATTATTACCATGCGCCTGCCTCATCAGGAGGCCAAATGCCTTAGCACCATCACTGTCTGCGCCTTTCTATGCCCACTTCTGACGCGAAGTAAACCAGGCTTAGGGAGGACCTGCACGCTCTCCTGGTAGCTGTGCCGAAAACGGACAGGTTGGTCGTTATTGGCGACTTCAGAGCTCGTGCTGGTACAAATAAAGCTGCGTGAAGAGTGCTGAGTCCTCGTGGACTTTGCGGCTGTAAAGGCATCGGTTTCCTCCTTCTGCGGCTCTCTGTAGAACACCGTGTCCTCATCCCCAATACCTTCTTCCGTCTTCCGAAAAGGGAGGAGTCAACCTGGAGTCACCTACTATCGTGGTGCTGGCAGCTGCTGGATTCTGTTCTCGTCCGGAGGCGAGATCAGCAGGACGTGCTGGCGACCAAGGCCGACTGCATCGCCGACTGCTGGACGGATGGCCTTCTCTTCCTCGCTAAGAGAAGGATCCGATTGCAATCCCGCAAGGACCCACAAGGCAAAAGACTGCCAGAAATATATAATACTGTTCTGTTAAATTTCTCTGCAGATCTCTTGAATTTCAGCCCTAACTTAACCTAGCTCCTGAAAGAATCGCATACTCCGGGCGAAAAAAAGACCTTGGAGACTCGACGGCATCAGCTGTAAAATTCCATGGTCTGCGCTGCCCTAAAGACCCCCGGATCATCTCGCTGGTAGGAGCAGGCTGCATAAAACCTACCTTTACCGTCGGGTCGATACCAACAGTGACCTTTACAGACGGCGCAGACTCCTGCAACAACGGCTGTGGGAATGCAGAACATCTGAGCATAACACAAGGCCGGGAAAATCCAAGGATACGCTGACGTCAATGAGAGAAACGACTTTTACGCACCAATCAAGATGGTCTACGGCAGTACATCCAAGGGAACCGTCACTCTGACGAAACAACATTCCTCTCGGAGAAATCGCAGATTTCGAATTGTCGAGCCAAGCATTTCGGTACCGTCCTCGGTTGCCCATCCACGACATACGGCACTTTCGTCGGTCGGCTTCTTCAAATGGAAGCGGATAACGATCTGGGTCTCCTGCTTTCCCTACCAGAAACCGTCAGATCCGTGAAACAACTTTCGACGGGAAAGCACCATGATCCGATGCGAGCCCCGTCAAAATTTACTAACACTGCGGCCCCCGGCTGATCGATCAAATTACGACGCCAGGTAAGGGTGGACTGGGGCATCGGACTAATCAAGCGCGCGACCTTCGTCCAAATCCGCAGAAAACTTCTGGAACAAAGACGAAGTACCTCTGATGACCAAGCTGCAAAGATACGAGGCCTCCTTTGGCACATCACTTCTGTTCGAATGTGGGAGGTGTGTTGTGCACTCGGAAGAAATACACTGCCCAAGAGTATTCAATCAATGATGCTTACGCTCAATTTTTCCATTTTATCTCTCTGATCCCTTCTTCGGTGGACGAATCTGTAGTCGCTGGACGAGAAAACCGGTCAACTATGCCGTTGTTATTTGCCAACCAAGGTGACTCAGACGCCCGTTAGGCCAACCCTAAGACAAAATTGCCCAGAAAGTTGTATCCCTTGAACCCGTCTCTCCTGCGACAGTGCAGAGGTAGCTAGCCGAAGGCACTGGTAAACGTGACGAGGTTTAATCTCAGGCATACCTCCGACCCTCCGGTTGACATGAAAACCGACCCTAATTCTATGGAGAGTCTTCTGCTGATCGACTGCAATGGAGAGCCATCGTAGGAAGTATGCAGTATGCAGTCAACCGAATCCGATAAAAATACAGAGGGTAAGGCATTTAGACACGAAGTTAATGGCCGTCCTCAGTATCTAACATCCGATATTATCACGTTAACTATTACCTGTTAGAGTTTTGACTGACATTTTTATGAAACGAAACGTTGACCTGCCAAAAGGGTGAATACGGTTCAGCTTACAACAGCTGTAGGAGAATAGAAACCTCCTTAAATCAAGTCTTACGAAGTTATATCTTGTTTCGATGTCCTTCCTCTAATCATTCGTAGTTTTCTTAAGTTAAATGGCATCATACTAACGACGTATGCTACATTTTGGGAGATGGGATGAAAGATGGCTGCCTAGCGGTTGCGTTAGCAAAAGAGTTGCAAAATTTATAGGGTTGGCCGAAGGAGCTTGAGCAAAACTTGTTCGGATGAAATGAGAATCGAGCTTGTCCACATTCCTAAATAGCTTCATGAGGTCAGTACGAAGACGTCCATAATGATGGGTTAGGCAGCTGGGAGTATATGATAGATTTGCGTACTTGACTTCTACAGCAGTGAATGCACAGGATTCATTCTCCCACACCAAACTCTTTTATAATCTGTTATCTTTCTGACAAGATACGAAAATGAGACCACCGAATAGAATTTTACACGCCTGCCACAAAATTTACGCAAAGGATGGCCAAATTTGCTAGGATATATTTTGAAAACTTGAATATTTGGACGGTGGGAGGTAGCTTGCCTTTACTTGCAGCTAAAAATTTTTGAATCAAAATAATATTACGAGAACAGGAAGCAGCACATATCACCTGGTTACCGTATTCGACAATTAGTTAGTCTACATTTTTCCTTATGACTGTGCGCTCTGTTTTTACCCTGATATTGTCATGAGTTACCATGGACAAAAGAGTATTAAACTCGTAGTATGAAGAAAAATTCGTCCAATTTCTGCATTATGCAAAGTAGTATCCCTGATATCTTAAAGGAATGAAATAGCGACTTAATTTGAAGAGCCCACCAATTAGAAATTGCACTTTGAGGGTCTATAGAAGCGAAAAGGCGAGTTTCAGGAAGCAGTTCAAAAGATGAAGATGCGATCGCTGGAATAAGAGTGTTAGTGGCCTAACGCTTCGGAGCCTCACTCAAACCCATCATCAGGGACAGCAGCAGAAAACGATATCAGGGGCCAAAGGAGCACAGTGCTTATAGGGCGCCGTGATCTGGCAACCACATGCCTACATTAATTACTAGCACTCAAGTTCATCGCGTGAGGTCGTATTTGAGCTGATTATGGCTTGTTAGTCCGCACCCGATTCATTAATTAGCGTGATTTCACCACCGCTGTTGATCCCTGTCGTGACGATTACTCGGCCATTTGCCTCCCTGTCAAGATAACTGTTGGTCACCCGGCCTTCAATTAACAAGCGCAATGACCTTCTGCCTTCATGCTTTGTGTTGCGGTCTTGTGTGAGCAAAGTAATTAGCCTCGTCAAAATTGAATGTGTGGCCGGGTCCGTCAAACAAGCCCCGACCTGGGAACTAGCGTCATTCTTCATCACTACCGTCGCATATTCGGCCATTCGCGTTCGAAGTAATCTTCCGGTTTCTGTGACGTACTTGCTTTGATCGCGACTGCACCAGATCCGGTAAACGATTACAGACGTTTTCTGCCCGATGGTTGCCTCCGGTCTGCACTAAACTCCGACTCTGAGCGGTGTGAGAAGGCGGCTGACGATTTCTGAGACCTTCTTGACGTACGGAAGTGCTCGTCAAAATTTGGAGCAGACTGACTTTTGTCTCTTGTAGCACTTACGCACGTACCGGCTGACGATGTTGTGCGGGTAACCATTCGTTGTTTTTCTCTTCCTTCGTCGTCAATTGAATGTCCGGGAAGACGTCGTTAAGGTGTTTTTTGAATTTCAGCACCTGATCCGTTCGATGACGACGAAGGTATCATCCAAATACCGAGCACAGAATTTCGGTTTGTGGTGGTGGATAAATTTAAAGGGGTCGGCCTCCCGCCATGCGACGTCATGGAATCGTTTGATGTTACGTTCCTTTTCACTTCTATTCCTCAGGGCCTGACAGTCGAGGCCATCGAACTACTCCTAAGACACAACTACAATGAGCCGGAAATAGTCTTGGACACACCCAAATCCCCCAACTCTCGAAGTTCTGTCTCATGACGTACTTTATCTTCGACGGAACAGTCTACGAGCAGGTGAAGGGCACGCCAGTGGGTTCGCCGATTTCGGAACTCATAGCAGAGACTGTCATACAACGGTTGCAGTCGCTGCTTTTCAAACTCCATAAACCGGAATTCTGGGCTCGGTATTTGGATGATACCTTCGTCGTCATCGAACGGATCAGGTGCTGGAATTCAAAGAACACCTCAACGCCGCCTTCTCGAACATTCAATTTAAGACAGAGGAAGAGGAAAACAACCAGCTGGCCATTCCTGATGTCCTCGTCTGCCGCGAAGATTTTCGTGGATTAAAAACCAAAATGTTCAGGAAAGCGACAAATACGATGCAAGTACTAAACTTCAACAGCAACCACCCAATCATTTCCAAACACAGTTGCATAATGACGCTATACCAGCGGGCGGAGACACATTGAAGTGAATCGGTAGACAAGCTTTCTGAATATCAATACCTCCGGCATGTACTTAGAGTGAATGTATACCCGCGCAACTTCCTCAAACACTGCCTGCGTATACGAGACGAAAGACAAAATCCAACCGGACCCAAATTTAGGCGAGCTGTCCCGTACGTGAAGAATGCCTCGGAAGCCTTCAGCCGCCCACTTAGGCCCCTTGGAATTGTAGTTGCACACAGACCGGAGTCAACTATGAGGCAACAGATCAAGAGGCCGAAAGACCCACTGTCATGGCAGGAAACAGCTGGAGTCGTTTACCGGATCTGGTGCACTTGTGGGCAAATCAACTATGTCGAGGAAACTGGAAGACTACTCCGGACACCGTTGGCCGAGCACGCGGCAGCAGTGAGGAGGAAAGATTCCAATTTCCATGTCGCGGCCTATTCAACAAAACCCAATCACACATTCAAGTTTGACAAAGAAGAAATTCGTGCTACAGACGGCAACCGCGTGAGCCGTGAACTGATCGAGCCATGGTTTTCCGGTTCTCAATCAATCAGCAAGCGCAACGACCTTCCCTTTCCATACTTGACACTGAGTCTTTGTCTAGGCAAAGTAGTTAGCCGTGAGGTGAACGTGCGGATAACCATTGTCTCCGGTATCAAGGTCGGCTAGCCACATCACCCAAGAATCCACACATATGAGGAAATCCGGTTGTCCGCCGCTCGGCGGCGTGCGATGAGCGTGGGAGCCGGTAATCTTGACCGATATGCAGGCGCATAGTAACGGCATGGCAACGACATACTTAAAAACCTGGCCAGTTGAGTTGTGATGCGCTCGGGAGATATCAACTGTGATAAGCATATGGCGGCCTAGCAACTATATCCTGTAAATATTGCAACACCTGGGCAATCCATTACCCTTATCTGACTCTGTCTCTGACGATGGATTCGAGGGAGAATCAGAAACGTCAGGCCAATAAATCACTTGTTTCAGCGATCATGTCTCTACCTCCGCGATTTCTTCCTGGAACCCGCCTCTTCGCTTCTATTGGCAGATCTAATAAAGCCATCTTGAATGGGTGTCTCCCCGCCCTCCTCCTCCTCCTCCTCCTCCTCCTCCTCCTCCTCCTCCTCCTCCTACTCCTTCTTCTTCTTCTTCTTCTTCTTCTTCTTCTTCTTCTTCTTCTTCTTCTCCCCATCCTCCTGAGTCGACGTCAGTTTTTGTGAACTTAGTGCCACCACTTCCCTTTCTCCCCTACAATTTACGGTTCGTCAGCGGTACTGAAAATCTAATGAAAACGGAAGTCGTACGGGCGGAAGGATTGAGAGTGGCCAGGAAAAAAATGCGGCAAAAAGTTCGTATAAATACCGTTTATGTGTTTCGGCCTTTAATCCTTACGCAAGCCGTATAAGGCTTTACTAAGGGAATTATAACGCACACAAATCCCCTTATGCAGGCG